GGCAGAGATAACGCATTTCAGAGTCAGAGATAAGGCATTACAGAGGCAGAGATAATGCATTACAGAGAGGCAGAGATAAGAGCATTACAGGCGCATTACAGAGGCAGAGATAACAGCATTACAGAGATAACGCATTACGCAGCAGAGATAACAGCACACAGAGGCAGAGATAACGCATTACAGAGAGGCAGATAACGACACAGAGGCAGAGATAACGGCAGAGGCAGAATATAACATACAGCAGAGATAACAGAGACAGAGATAACGCATTACAGAGGCAGAGATAAGGCATTACAGAGGCAGAGATAAGGCATTACAGAGGCAGAGAGGCAGAGATAGAGGCATTCAGAGGCAGAGATAAGGCATTACAGAGGCATTCACAGAGAGAGAGATAAAGGCATTACAGAGGCAGAGATAACGCATTACAGAGAGGCAGATAACGCATTACAGAGGCAGAGATAACGCATTACAGAGGCAGAGAATAAGAGCATTACAGAGGCAGAGATAACGCATTACAGAGGCAGAGATAACGCATTACAGAGTAAGGCACAGAGGCAGAGATAACGCATTACAGAGGCAGAGATAACGCATTACAGAGACAGAGAGATAACGCATTACAGAGACAGAGATAACGCATTACAGAGACAGAGATAACGCATTACAGAGACAGACATAACGCATTACAGAGACAGAGATAACGCATTACAGAGGCAGAGATAACGCATTACAGAGGCAGACAGAGATAACGCATTACAGAGGCAGAGATAACGCATTACAGAGGCAGAGGCAGACGATATTACAGAGACAGAGATAACGCATTACAGAGGCAGAGATAACGCATTACAGAGACAGAATAACGCATTACAGAGACAGAGATAAAGGTGCATTACAGAGGCAGAGATAACGCATTACAGAGGCAGAGATAACGCATTACAGAGGCAGACATTTACAGAGGCAGAGATAACGCATTACAGAGGCAGAATGAGCATTAAGAGGCAGCATTACAGAGGCAGAGATAACGCATTACAGAGCATTACAGAGGCAGAGATAACGGCATTACAGAGGCAGAGATAACGCATTACAGAGGCAGAGATAACGCATTTCACAGGCATGATAGAGCACAGAGAGATAACGCATTACAGAGGCAGAGATAACGCATTACAGAGGCAGAGATAAAACGCATTACAGAGGCAGAGAGAGGCAGAGATAACGCATTACAGAGAGCAGAGATAAGGCATTACAGAGGCAGAGATAACGGCATTACAGAGGCAGAGATAACGCATTACAGAGGCAGAGATAACGCATTACAGAGGCAGAGATAACGCATTACAGAGGCAGAGATAACGCATTACAGAGGCAGAGATAACGCATTACAGAGGCAGAGATAACGCATTACAGAGACAGAGATAACGCATTACAGAGGCAGAGATAACGCATTACAGAGACAGACATAAGATACAGAGCATAACGCATTACAGAGGCAGAGATAACGCATTACAGAGGCAGAGATAACGCATTACAGAGACAGAGATAACGCATTACAGAGACAGAGATAACGCATTACAGAGGCAGAGATAACGCATTACAGAGACAGAGATAACGCATTACAGAGGCAGAGATAACGCATTACAGAGGCAGAGATAACGCATTACAGAGGCAGAGATAACGCATTACAGAGGCAGAGATAACGCATTACAGAGGCAGAGATAACGCATTACAGAGGCAGAGATAACGCATTACAGAGGCAGAGATAACGCATTACAGAGACAGAGATAACGCATTACAGAGGCAGAGATAACGCATTACAGAGGCAGAGATAAAGCATTACAGAGACAGAGATAACACATTGTAGAGACAGACATAACGCATTACAGAGACAGACATAACGCATTACAGAGACAGACATAACGCATTACAGAGACAGAGATAACGCATTACAGAGGCAGAGATAACGCATTACAGAGGCAGAGATAACGCATTACAGAGGCAGAGATAACGCATTACAGAGGCAGAGATAACATTACAGTGGCAGAGATAACGCATTACAGAGGCATTACAGAGGCAGAGATAACGCATTACAGAGGCAGATATAACGCATTACAGAGGCAGAGATAACGCATTACAGAGGCAGAGATAATGCATTAAAGAGACAGAGATAACGCATTACAGAGACAGAGATAACGCATTACAGAGGCAGAGACAAGGTGTCACAGAGGCAGAGATAACGCATTACAGAGGCAGAGATAAGGCATTACAGAGGCAGAGATAACGCATTACAGAGACAGACATAACGCATTACAGAGACAGACATAACGCATTATAGAGACAGAGATAACGCATTACAGAGGCAGAGATAACGCATTACAGAGGCAGAGAGAAGGTGGCACAGAGGCAGAGATAAGGCATTACAATAAATAGAAGCCTCTATTGCAATTAAGAAATTGTCTATCCATATAAAAAATGTTCCCCCTATCATAAATGCCCCTTAAGGAAGTCCTCCTGGTATACTGTTTTCTATTGTATAGTATAACTTTTACAGCCTCCATATACCATTATACTCTGTATAACAGTGACACCCACCGGTTTCACCTTCAGCAGTGTGCACTGGGGTGCTAACAAACGTGTATTCACGGCTGGGTAAGTTCCTGAGATCTGACCTACATATATCAGGTACCCGCTATAAGGTGAACTGTTGTCTACAGAGAAGACGGGTATCTGTGGGATACTGACAACAGTCACGCCGCGTGGAAACATTTGTGATTACATCTACAGGTCAGTAGGATGTTATCAACATGTGTGCTATACGGTATCGTGGAAGCTGGTGTGTTCTGAAACCAGAATGGTAGCTCTCTTGTGATGGTTGTATCTGGTACACCGATTTGAGAGAGTTGAGCACGTACCCTATAGTTTGGCATGGAATGCATGTGGACCCGGTTTTTTGTAAATATCTCTTCATCCAATGACCCAATCGATCTCAAACTGTGCAAGTGGATGTTTTGTCAGACAATCTAATCACATTGTAAATCACCGATTTTATGCATTTGTATTAAACAATCTGTCTATGTAACTGTCAACAAAATAAACAGCAGAACGCAAACTGCTTGCAGAGGGAGGGAGCCAGTGACCTGTAACAGCGGCAGTGTTGGGTCATAAAGGTAAATGCACAGTTTGAGATCGATTGGGTCATTGGATGAAGAGATATTTACAAAAAACCGGGTCCACATACATTTCATGCCAAACTCTCTTGTGATGGTTGTATCTGGTACACCGATTTGAGAGAGTTGAGCACGTACCCTAAGTTCGTTGACTCCATGTAGGTCTATACGTGTATATACGCTCTACATGAAGTGATTCCCAGACCCTCGTACCTTAACAACGCTGGCGATATAACTAGAACATGTAGTTTGATGTTACCCTTGTCTAAGTTGTACAGTGCTTCAACCAATGGACAGAAGGTCCGAACAAACCCAAAAATTCGCATGAACGCACCACTTGAAAAACGGTGGATAGCCGTTCGTGAACCACGTGCAGAATGCACCAAAGCTTGCGACAGTGTACATTGTCACTGAACTAGGCAGAAATTCGTTTTGTTTTTCGATAGAGCAGCCACGCTGTCGGCGACTGTCTCTTATAGAGCCAAATCAGGGCATAATTGTAAGAAGTCAAATAAGGACTTCAATTGGACCATATAGTGGTTTCGGTGGTCACATAAGGACCGTGTCGTGTTATGTCAAATTAGGACATATTGCTGTATATACACTAGCCACATAAAGAAACTGTGCATTGTCAAAATATTATCCCAGTTGATAAGTACGATAACAATGTCAAAGGTACACATAAACTTTAATGGACGAGTCCACAACCGGGATAGGGGTCAAACGACCATGTCACAAGCTCAATAACGGGTATGTCCACCATCGGCATTGAGAACAGCAGTGCATCGACGACGCATAGAGCCTATCAAACGTGCAAGGAAGGCTTGTGGGATGTCACGCCAGATTCTCTCAAGTTCTGTTGCAAGGTCAAGGACGTTATCTGGCGGATGAGGAAGACGGCGTAGACGTCGAGCCATGTCGTCCCAAACATGCTCTATCGGGGAGAGATCCGGTGAATTTGCAGGCCAAGGCAGTAAGTCAACGTTGTGGTGTTGCAAGAAATCAAGAGATTGTCAATGACGTTGTGTAAGGATAGGCCGTATGGCGGGACGTCGTGGTCTGATCCCGTGATGACGTAAACGTTGTCGAACTGTGTTGGGGTGGATACGGCGAAGTCCTGGGATGGTTCGGGCAGTCACCACTGCAGTCTGAAGCCTGTGGCGAAGATGGGTCACCCTTATCCATATGTCCTGTCTTGGCGTTGTTACACGTGGACGTCCAGAACGTGGCCGATCGATGACGTCATTTGTATTCACCAGTGCAGAAATGGTGTTCCGGTGGCAGTGGAAATGTGCAGCCACTTGTCGTTGAGACATTCCCCCACGGACCATCCCAATGGCCTCATGACGTTGTGCAGACGTGAGCCTTGGCATGCTATGCGTTTCAATAGCCGTTTAATTTTTTGAACGATCGCAAGGGCAGGGGTTGAGCTTTCCAAAGTGACAGTAGTGTGTGCATTCATTTGCTCTGTTTCTCTTTCCCGGAATGCACGTGCAACAACGTATTGCACGTCTCAAGGACGAACCCACTGACGTCACGGAACGTGGCACGTGCATGCATGTTGGATACATGTCACTAAACTCTGAGTTTAAATCCTTATGTGTCTACACAGGTTTGATTAATTTAGATTTTCAATTTTTGTATGCACAGTTTCTTTATGTGCCTAGTATATATACGTATACAGTTATAATGCATGATTTATGATTTGTGTGACATCACAGATGGCGACCACGGCACCAGAAGGAACCGAGCAGTGCCTGACGTGTGTCAGATGTACAGAGGTGTTTGACAAGCCCTGTACACTTGTGTGTAATCACACCTTCTGTCGGAAATGTATCGTCAACTACACCAAAACCAGACCAGAAGCCATCAGTGCCAAGTCCCTGCTGTGTCCATTCTGCAGCAAGATGACGAAAGTGTCTGCCCCAGAGAGACCCGTGGAGGACTGGGCTGATGACGTCAAACCTATCTTTCTCATCCAGGGACTCTTGGACTCGTATGATCCGGATTCTACAGGTAGATAAGATACAGCCAGTACTATAGGAAATGTACATGCTACTTATAGAGACATTGTCCCAGATACACTCACCACAAACTGATAGACAGTAATTGTGTACAGCGTTATGAAATGAAAAACCAGGTGTTAAAGAGTTTCGATGTGTATGGACACTACGTTGCAGCTTAATAAACAAATGTCTCTTTCGCATTCAGAGGTTATCTTACGAGATACGCCACTTTTTCGTTGCCGTATCTACCCACTTTTCATGATACCTTTTGCACGTCATGAAGTCAAGACAAGGATAGGAATATTTTCAGCACAATTCCCTTCCTCGCTGATACACTTTTATACACTGATACAATTTTATCACAGTTCCGTTGAAGTGCTAAAGTTTCCCAGCAGCTGCTGCCACGCCATTTTGTTAATCGATTTCATTATGTATTGTGACTGGGCCACACCGTATGGTCACCACAAGATCGAGAGTCCTGTAGAGAATTACCGATATGTTTTGTAGTTTGCGTATTGTTGTTTGTATTAGTTAATATTTTTCAGTGTGTGGAGGTGTTACTGAGTATTTGACGCGGCAGTCTTAACATTCAAGTGCAATTTGTGGAAGCAGCAAATATTCAGCAAAACCTGTAACTGTGAAATGTCTCGTAAATTAACGTCAAACATTCGGGAATAAACAATCACGAAGCGTGCCTTATTCTAAAATGTTTCAGATACCACAAATTGCGGCTATTGTAGAGAGGAAGGGGAGACAACTCTAGCTGCTGTTTGGTGTTCTGTCTGTGGAGATGCAATATGCGAGAGGTGTGCAAGGATGCATAAACGTAATCCAGCTTCCCGCCATCACGAGTTATCTAACCTGTCAGCAGATGTCAAGGTCACGAGGCAAAGAAAGGTCATATGTCAGGAACATCAGAAAGAATATCTTGAAGCTTTCTGTAAAGATTGCAAAATTGCAATGTGCCATAAATGTTGCACTTTCTACCACAGGAGATGCGTGTCAGTTGTCTCGATCGAGTCCGAGATTCCGGAAATGAAACTGGAACTGAGCAAGATGAAAAGACATTTACAACAGTTGCAAAATGAGACAAACTCACAATTACCAAAGCAAAAGGCGAACGTCAATGAAGAAACAGCTCGGTATTTCCAAATAGAAGCAGACATCAAGTCTGCCAGTATTGATTTAATACAGCAAATAAAACTCAGGGAACGGAGGCTTCTAGATGAACTAAAAGAGATGTCAGACAAGCACATCGAACAACTGAAGGCAGGCGTAAAGTTAGCTGAGATGTCAGTACAGATGTACCAACAACAGACGGAGCTGATAGACCAGGCTCTACAATCGGAGTGTGACACGGATGTGTATGAGATGTACCAGGGATGTGAGGCCGGTGATGTGGAGGCTGTCGTAGACGCTGACCTGAAGGAGAGAGGAAGGATAGCTAGAGTGATGTTTAGACAGGACAGGTCACAAGACAACAGTCTCCTGGGCGTCCTAGATGTTATGTACGAGGATGTGCTTGGCGTGAACACCACTCACGAGCTACACGACTGCATGAACGTGAGACTATCAGACAGCGAGTGTGCAGCAGGGCCTACTGATGTGGCGGTACTCGTGGTGAACAGCACAGATACAGTAGTGGTCACAGACTATGACAACAACAGTGTCAAGTCCTTCTATACAAGGAAGAGCCTGCCAAGTCACGGGGTGCTGGATCTTGGCAGTGGCCCCTGGGGTCTGACAGTTCTGACACACACGTGTGTAGCTGTATCAGTGCCAGATACGAAACAGATTGTAACAGTCGAGGTAAACCCTGACCTGGACCTGCTGTCAACCATCACGACCAGCAAACAATACATGGGAATAACTGCTCTAACTCCAACAACACTAGCAGCTGGTTCCCGGTCTCCTCCCTGTGTTGATATCCTGGATATGACGGGAAACGTGTTGACGTCTGTCAGTCCACTGCACAATGGTCAGGACATCTTGAAATACCCTACCTTCCTCTGCACCACCAGGACAGGTAACATCCTGGTGTCTGACGGCGAGTCCAACTCGGTGATGTGTCTGACCCCCGAGGGAGATGTAGTGTTCAACTACCGCCCTACAGGAGACACGGCGATGGGGTGGCCATGTGGTATCACAAGCACCGACACTGGGGACATCCTGGTTACTGACAACTTGCAACGCCGAGTTCTACATCTCACTGAGGCGGGTCAGTTTGTCCGGGACATTCTAACGTTACAAGATGGCGCCGAGGATCCATACGGAGTGTGCGTAGATGAGAGTGGCCGGATATACGTGTGTCTTCGCAATACAGGATATATAAAGACATTCAAAAACATTAACTGAATATCAGCCTTAACAGTCAGGGAAAGGTATTTGTGCCATAGCAATCTATCCACAAAGTTTTACTGCTTATTGAAACGTAGTGTCATACACAGTGTCTCTACCAAGTCAACCACTGACCTAGATGAGATTCAAGGATCTTCGTGTGTTCCTGGAGACAATGGCCATGGCGATTAATTGCCATGTACGGTATAAGTGGATATTGTACAAACGCTCCGTGTACAGTACCACTCCAGTTGTATCTGCAACCAGCTTGGGTTCATGTGGAACATCAAAGTGCTGTTTGCTCGAACTATTCACACATACACGTTAATGGTTCTCACTCAAATATTAAACTGAGCTCAAAATCAGACGCCTGGTGAAGGTACAGGTTGGGAAGGAACAGGTGCAAGTATATTGACACTGTGAAATACTCCCTCGTCCTGCACCACCTGTATGTGTCATACCAGCCTTGACTGCTCTTCACAGCCGCCAACAACTCCAACAATGCTGATGCACCTTAAAGCAACAGTTACTCACTCACTCTTCACGTATGTCATTCTCAAATTAGACATCACAATTAATCTTTGATAACCAGGGAATAGGATAAGTTGCAAATGCGGTCCGCTCGGTCCCTATCTCGTCACCTCTTACGACACACATGACGTTTTGGTAACCTGTCAGAGCAAAGTAAAGGTGCCCGACAACACTTCCCTCCTCCATGTTCAAGTTTACCTTATCAGAAAAGACAACAGGGAGATAAAGGTGAAACATGGAGGGAAATTCGTGTTGTGTTATTATCTTGTGGATTTCTATATATGTGTGTACAACTGTACGCTGCTCAACTTCATGGAGCATATCTGGGATTGGTTGTCGTGTGCAACGAAGGGGTCCTCCTGTACAGAACCTTGCCCAACACAGGGGTATGAGGCAGAGAGTGCTGGCTGTCAGTCACATGGAGCTTACACTCGGTATTGACCTTGAATCGTGCAAGACACGCAAAATGACATTTTGAATGTTCACATTCACCAATAAATTCAACATTAAACATTCCAGGGCTATACTTGTACAGACATGGTGTTGTATGAAAATCAGTGGGTTTTTTAAATGAGCACCAGGGGTGGAAATAACCCATTGCCCGACGCCCCAGTCCAGTGTTTTTTTCTGTCGGGCAAGCAAATTTGTATATCACACTGTACCGGTGTCCAGTTGACTTTCCAGTGTTAATTGTGTTGTTTATTTAAAAAATCAACAGGAAAATCAGCCAGTATAGTGGAAAAATTATCAGGGCAAGTGATTTTACATGTGCCACTGTACCGGAGTACACTAACAAGTTTAAAGTTATTTCCACCCCTGAGCAATTATCAGCATAAAATCAACATGGATTTCAATCATTTTGTTGTATTTTTATGAGTCAAAGGATCATACGGGTTAGAGAAACTCCATGTTTTTTCATTGTGGTCACTACGAGAAGTTTTATGTATGTGTGGAAAACCTATCGTTGCAAAAATACAGGGGTGTTTAATTACGTTCTTTGTGTACACATCACAATAGCAAAACTAAGACATGTGTCTGTGCAGTTTTATTTATTTACACAAGAACATTTTCTAAAAACATAATAAGATTGGTATATATAACCTAATATCGGTAACAACAACAATTCTGTAGCACCAAACTGAAGGTTGCCATTGTTTCTGAAACAATACACATCTCAGTGGTCTAGTTCCCAAAGGGTTGTTTACATGAAGGTATATGTACAATATGTGAAAAAAGTCAACAGCTGAAGGGGAAAAACATGCTCCAAGATGACTCACTCATCACCTGCACAATAACATACTTTGTATCATTATACTGTCATGCAAGTCGATAGGGACCATCTCAAATGTTCACAGCCATCAGGAATCTTATACATGTAATCAGCAAAACAATCGAGATTTGGCCTCACAAATATCCATCCAAATGAAATAACCATTTTTTATACTGAGTGAGTGAGTGAGTTTAGTTTTACGCCACACTCAGCAATATTCCAGCTATATGGCTGCGGTCTGTAAATAATCGAGTCTTAACCAGACAATCCAGTGATCAACAGTATGAGCATCGATCTGCCAAAATGGGAACCGATGCCATGTGTCAACCAAGTTAGCGAGCATGACCACCCGATCCCGTTAGTCGCCTCTTACAACAAGCATAATCGCCTTTTGTGGCAAGCATGGGTTGCTGAAGACCTATTCTACCCCGGATCTTCACGGGTCTTTTATACAAAGAGTAGTGATCAATGTTCATGTTCATCAAACTGAATGCACCAGAAAAGCGCCAAAAAATTAAACATTTTTCACTGAACACTATTTGCAAAGAGTTCAAGATTAATCTCAACCAGTCCTTAATATACAAGAGGAATTACAAGTTTGTCGACAACCCACTCGTCCTCCATTAATCAATCGTCTATTCGGAGACAGCTGAACCTATTGTCCACCTCACATGATGCTTGCACCATCTCTGGTAGATCACTGTCAGAGTTCTCAGAACACACATCAGACTTGGCATATTCAGCCTTCTTTTTCTTGTCACCCTTTTTTTTACCCTTCTTCTTGGAGTTTTTCTTACCTGTTCCAGTTTCCTGGAAACAATCTTGCCCAATGTGTTCAGAAAATAAAGATTCCATCTGAGCAAATGCAGCTGACATGGGTGATTTGGGTACAAGAATGTCATAAATATAGGCAAGAGGCTTCGACCTTGACCTCAGTTCTTTAGTGAAGTTGTAGAGGAAGACTCCACTGAAGAATTGGTGAGGTTGGGGGTGTTCCAGAGGCCTCTGCAGCAGCTGGTTGAGATGGAGACAGTCAAAGAGGCAGGCCTGCAGCTGAGATGAACCATGAGTGATGGAAGCGTCCACTGGGCTAGCATGTGTAACAGGAGCAAATTTGGCATGGTGTTTGTCAGTCTTCTGCAGAAACTGTGTCAGTTGTGACTCGGTCGCCTTCTCACAGGCTGACTTTACACATATCAGCGAGGCAGTGGGATCTGCTTCATGGCTGGAGTGTTTGGATTGTGTATAAGGATCACTTAGAGAAGTTGATGATGAATTTGATATATCATCCTTTGTGACATTGTCTGTCTCTTGTTTGTAATGTCTAGAATCCTGCTTAAGTTGACGAATCCTTGACTTTGACTGTAGGAGTATAACGCAGACAAGTATAGCGTGATAATGATGCCTTGTGACTTTAGGTCTAGACTGATTGACCCAGAACACAATCACACATGCAAGAAGCTGCAAAGAAGGTGACCACGATTCCAGGAAAGACTTCGGAACAGAAAGAGCCTCAAGTATCAGATCCACACGCTGCCTGGTAGAAATACCTGCAAGTTCAGATAGTCCTGGAAGTTGCCCGAAACTAGGTAAAGAGCTGATAGGTTCAAGGAGAGTCTTCTTCAGGTTCTTACTCTCGTCTCGTGTGTACTCTAAGACATGTGTAGCCATGCTTGCACCAGCCTGATTATCTATGTGAGCACAGGCATCATCCTTCAGCAGAATACCATATGCCACCTGTCTAATCCATTCAGACGTGGAGTATGCAGAAGCTACATTTAACTTTTCCACCTGAGTCAGTAGAAAATTCCGATGAAGCGACATAGTGTTGAGACAAAACGAATGAATTGCACCTGATCGATGGGCACTGATGAACCAGGATGGAAATTGGCTGCCATTGTAAGTCTTTATCTCATCAGTCCTCTGATGCAAGGCAGTGTCAGTGTCGCTATCAAAGAAGTCACTCAAACTGAACGACTCCTCCAAGTCAGTATAGATTCGGATACATCTGTGAATGTTAAGTCTCGTACTTTCTCTTGATTCTTTCGGTACATATGTGAGGATCTTCTCCACTGCTTCCTCCCAGGATCTGAAGTCCTCACACCAATCCAAAATGGCTACTAGCCTTCGATGTTTCAGTGGCAGAGATTTAAAACAGGCAGATTTCAGGGAGGAGAAAAAAGGTTTCAAATAGTGACGACTCAATGAAGTCATTTCCTAGAAGGACTGCAACAACGGGTAACAAAGCTTTATCAAACCCTGGAAATTCTTTAGCAAAATTGTCAATATGATACAGCTGGACAGATAAGCAGTAGAAAGTTTTGCCAGAGTCTGGGTCTGTGGGTGAGACTAATCGAAAGTCTACATAGTCAAAGAGTATGAAGCCACCTTTGAGGTCAAACACACAAAAATCACTATCATTGCTCATAACAGGACACTGCCAGTGGTTGGCTAGCTTGACAATCTGAGTATCAGCTTCGAAGTCGCACACTACATAGGGGACTCCCATGTCATCCAACACAGTCTTGAACGTCTCATATGCCAATATTGGCATTATCTTCCCTCTTCCTCCATGAGAAATAAATCCAGCAAGATGTATCCTGTTTTTGGCTCGAGAGAGTGTTGTTTTTTAACTTCTTCCCATCTGTGTCATATCCTCCATCAAAAACAACAAATGGTTTGATGTCACAATCTTCAAATATTTGAAATATGTCTTTAACCTTCTTATAGAAAACATCATAGTCTCCTCCATAACAGTGTTTGACGTGTAAATACTGGTACAGGAAGTGGTAGAAGTTGTTTCCATCTATCACCACTCTTGTGCTGTGTAGGTTATGATCCTGTAGGAGACGAGTGTTGTTGCCATCAACGAACGTTGTGAAGCCTCGGATGCCCATTGCTGACTGGAAACTGATGTAGCTGAAATTACAGAACAAGACTTTCTTAAATATCAATCAGACCAATCCCGTACAATATAACAGCATGCTGAAGGTATTTTAGTGAACAATATACACAAATTCCAAAATGACACTGCAAGGATGACATGTTACCTAATAGAGTAATGACATTTATTTATCAAGTTTTCTAAACACACTGTTGGTCTCTGGCTCGACTGGTTCATTACCTGGTGTTATCATGGCCCCTAATCACCTACCCTCCATTCATTACACTTGGAGAAGAAGAAGTAGTTTATTGTATTTTAGGCCTCCGGCCCAAATACAGAGTAATAATTAAAATATACAGTAACGTACACGATTTGATGTTACATGCAGTACTACATCAATTTGGATATACAATATTTTTCAGTACGTTATTTAAGATTGTTGCATGCTTTAATAAATATAACGAGAGCTGTAAAATATTGGAATTATTTCTACAGGTCATTAAAGAAGGGAATGCAATTTCTGGTGGTTTACTTAAGTACTTTTTTACAGAATTCTCAGGTTATCAAGGGTATGACATGTAAACACAAAGTGGATTTCATTCTCTATACCTGTTTTACATAACATATAAGTCCATGCTATCTTACCTACATTGTCTAAGCGTAAGAGCATATTGTTGGCTATTTAAGGTAGATGTTCTCATTTTGCCTACATCCCAATTCGCCTAGTCTTAAAACAACATGTCATGGTCTGTTGACTGTTGATTACGCAATGGTGAACTAGTGGCACCCCTATGATCTAAAAGTGGACTCTTCTAGTTGAAGTAGTTGAAGGACAAAAAGAATTTATTTATTTCTGTTAATTGTCATTTTCTGATCACAGTGCAATGATAATTTATTTATCACATCATATCATCACATCATCTTCTAGTTGAAGTAGTTGAAGAACAAAAAGAAAGGTTTTTTAAAGAATTTATTTCTGTTATTTGTCTGTTACTTATTTATTCTGTTATTTGTCATTTTCCGATCACAATCGTGACATTGTCCATTCTCACTTCAACTTGATAAGGTGACCAGTTGCGTCGAGGAATTGAAGGGGTGATCTTCTCCTAGAAGCAAGTTGCTCTCTAAGCCTGTCCAAGCGACTCTCCAGGTTTCGGTAGATCCTTGATTTGGGGCGGACAGCTGCTCCATGATCGATATGTCTGCGTGCCAGTCTGTTCGCTGTTTCCAATATCTTTATAGCAATGTTCGGGTAATGCTTTCTGACGAGTTTCTTGAAGCCGTTGTGAAAACCCTCCAAATGATTGTTGGTTCTGGGTCCTGTATTTTCATCCAGATACGAGGCAGGAATCTTGCATTGTAGTCTACCCAGGTAGAGGTCATGTAGTCGTTGAAGGCAGCAATACCCTCAACATCTGGAGACGCGGTCAATGTATCCATCCACACATCATGGACCTGATCCACCGGGAGGAGGGGAAGAGAAGCAGCCCGTCGCACATGGGAGTTGAAAGCTGGATTGTTCCTGTAGTCGTTGACTATGCCTTTCTCGGAAACTTGTCTCCAAACAGCTTGTGTATAATGGAAAAAGCATCCATGGATATCAGCATCTGGGAACACTGTCTCGATGGCACCAATGGCAGCAGCTTCGTAGTCTGTTTGCACTATAGAAGGGGAGAGATTGACATCGACAGTTGTAAGCACAATATCCTTTAAGTTCACCAGAGGAGGGTGGTTGTGCTCTGTGACCGAAGATATACGTGGTCGCCAATGGTACTGCAGTTACCTTTACATTTATTTATGACGCACTTCCAGTATGTGGCGACCTGTCTCACAACATTCAGTCGATACTTGTGGCCATCATGTTGTACCTGTCAGTGCTTGGCGAACGCTCCATTTTAAAGGGTTAAGTTTAAGCTTGTTCATTATATTATAACCTTGTTTGAACTTCTAATTTAATCCTCTTTACTCAACTACATATCCTTATAACAACTTAGTACTTCACAGTGAGAAATTAACTACATCTCATCATCGCATGCATTAATCCCTGTCATTTTATTTTAACCCTGTTTTAACTTCTCAGTGGATGCACTAATCCTCTTTACTCAACTACATATCCTTATAACAACAGTCGATCAAGACTCAGTGAGTCAGGTTCATTATAAGAGTAGGGGTGCATTCTCTAATCCCAATTCGCCTACATTGTTTTTGTAGGCGAATTGAGATGTAGGCGAATAGAGACTAAACCTATGTTCATACATATCTAAAACTTTAACCAGAATTTAAGGTATATAATTTGTGAAGCTAAATGTAGTAGATGTCTACCACATTAATTATATCTACTACTAAATCATAGAAAACAGAGTACAGGATCCTATCCTAAGGTATATTTTACATGCCATAAGATAGATTTTTTCTGAACAATTGTATCTTTAGAATCCCCATATTTCTGAACCATAATGCAAAATTGGTTGTATTTGAGAATCGTAAAGTTTAAAAATGACATTTGGGGGAACATTTCCAAGTTTAGAACAAACAGAAAATATTAGAATCAAAGATTTTTTTACCACATAAAGACAGATATTATGTGGATTTCTTGAACTTCATTGTGTGAGAAAATACCAAACCAAGGTATGTTTAGGAATTAAACACATTTATAGACATTCCTTGAAAAATCCATTTTTCATGCGCAGATGTCGGTCCACCCCTTCTAAATACTAAAATCTTAGGTTTTTTCAAACTTACGGTAATACCGGTAAAGTACACTCGGAGATTGAGATATATATTCAAATCTGTAACAAAAGATGACCACAGGTATATTACTGATGTACTGTTCAGTCACATTCATTGTCACACCTCAACTTCATCATAATATCAGTAGAGAGTGGTCACAGCTTACATACTATCGAAACAGTACGTCTGGTGACCATGCCATTTGATGACTGAACTCCCAGATACTGAGCATTCAAGCAAACGAATGAATGTATTTGCGGTTAACCTCTGGTGAACTGAAGTTACCGTCTGACATATGGTAAATAGTTAATGCCTGTAGGTGGCTACCCTAAAGCCAATGACGCGAGTCTAACTTGTATTGTCTTAGACTTTATAAGAAAGTAGAAGAATACGTACATAGGGACAAAATCTTGTCAGTGGCCATCCACATGTCACATCTTCAGCCGTTCAAGAAGTAGTGCTGAGAGTGCTCTCCCTTGAAACTCTTTAAAAACATTGTCAATGACTTGAATACTTCTTCATGTCATAGAAACCATATTTCCTAAATAGGAAGGATAGAAACGTGGTTATTATATTTTTTAATTTATACACACTATTCTATATGATTAGATATAAGGTTGTGTACGTCAAACAATTCTATTTCATTTGGTTTGAGATTTACCTAGAATCCAACATGGCGGCAAAATTAAACAATCTCAGCACTTTGCAGGAATCATGAAATCATATATACTATTTTGAATTACGGCTTTGACTCATCGAGAATCACAGTGGTTGGAATCCTGTATGCATGTATTGTCCTTCTTTTAATGAGAACTCCAACCTTCTAGTTTTCAATAGAAATCTTGATTCTTGCGTTCGATCATAAACATCAGCACAATGAATCAATGAACATGAACGCTGAAAGGATTCCGTCTCAACTATCCAGTTCTGTTTAATTTCATAGCGGCTTGTTTGATAATGTGGATGCAAGGCTAGGAAAGAGTTCCGCCCGTAACCCCCGTTTTTTCATCATTCTATGCCTAAGATTTACAGTAAGAATAGATGATTTTTATAGAAAGCCTACCCTAAACCCTAACATAATGCTAAATGTAAACCCTAACCCCTTGCATTAAATAATCATAATACATAGAATACATTTCAAGCGGGGGTTACGGGCGGATCTCTTACCCAAGGGTAGAAGAATAAACATTTGAAAATAAAAAGTAGCAGCGCATACCACAGATCTTCTTGATTATACAAGTTACAACTATACTACAATATCTATAATGCTGACCGTTGCAAGGTACCGAGCACTGACCTTATGCTCATTACATTCACATGTGTTTGAAAAACAGTAATAATAAAATGTAGTGCAACTGCTTTGTAACACCAAGAATGTGTGTTATATTATACTTCCTTGGTGTTTATTGATGTAGACTTACATTATTTGGTAAAACCTCTGGAAAAGAGGAGAAAATTAATAAAACTCAAAAACCTTATAGTTGTTAAATGAGACCAAATACTTATCAAACAAATCATGATAATTTGATATTGTTTCTATCCAGTACTTTGAAATTAATTAAAAGCTTTTCAAACTTTTGCAAACAAACAAATTAGTTTACAGAGGTGTAACAAATCACTTATCCATGTGAAGGCAAAGTTTGAGATGAATTGACAAGGACGCAATGCTGCACGCCTCTGTGCCCCGTCCCTCTATGTTTTATGTATAGCACCTTCCTGCATAATCTGATGTGACATTTCGATACAGATGTTTTCTACAGATTTTTGTACCCAAATGGAAAGGTTTACATATATAATAGTGGATTACAAACTACAAACTGCCTCCATGGTGTAGTGGTTAGAGCGTCTGCCCGGAGAGCGGAAGGTCGCGGGTTCGATCCCCGACCGCGTCATACCAAAAGATGTTAAAATATGGTACTTGTTGGTGCCTGCCTGGCACTCGGCATTAATGGGTACATCAAGGACTGGTCGGCTCGGAGTCAGTATAATGTGTCTCAGTGGGGTATTCATGCTTCACTGCGGCATGGTATCTCAGTAGGCTATCACTATAAAACCAACTTCAGTCTGAGCTAGTACAAGCAGCCGCACATACACATACACATGCATGCACGTCGTCATATGAGCGAAATATTCTCAAGCACGACGTTAAACCCAATTTCACCTCACCTCACAAACTACAGATTATAGGTTGACCAGAATGTTTCATTGAAGATAAAGTCAATTCAAAATTTTCAATAAAATTTTCCTCACAATTTTGTACAGCCTCAAAAATTACTTTTATATCTTTCACAGAAATTATATCTAAGCCACTACCTTTTCACTGATGTGGTAGTCATGCATGCTAAGAAACCACATTCTCCAGGGTTGGAGATAAAGGGGAGATAATTATGATTCAGTTTCTTCTGAAATTATCTCCCTTTGTCCAAGCCCTTGAAATATTCTGGGAGTTCACACAAAAACCATGACTCTCAAAGGAATGTCACTCAAGAATTGTAAGTGTTCACACTTTGCAGAAATTTAAACGAGCCAATGGCCCAAACATTTGCCTGATTGAGTCTGCAATTGCAATGTCAGTCACAAGTATGTTGCCAGGTGTTTGTAGTCAGTAAAGATATGCAGTTAAGATATCCATGCTGACTGTATTTCCATTGCTAGATTCCTCCAAGCAAGGATGTGGAAGTACTGTATCCTCGGCCTAGTAGCAAGACTTGCTCTCTTGATGTATGGAGAATGGCAGGACCGCACCATGGAGGTCAAATTTACAGATGTCGACTACTTTGTTTTCGATGATGCAGCATCTTTTGTTAATGAGGTAAATGTGTGTAAATTTTTCATAAAAAAAAAACATTATGGAAAAAATACACTAATATTACAGTATTTGATCTCCATATGTCGACCCCCCTTTATTGTAACATGAGTACTGTTACAAGGACTGCATGATGGTCCGTCTGAATTTCAAATACTATAGAGTAAGGATGTCATAATTTTATCTGCTATTGATGTATTGGTTACTTTTGAATGTTGGGACAGAGACGTCAGACTTGCATTTTCTCATGAAGTGCGAACAGTTCACCTTTTCTATTCAGTTTAGTTGTATTGATGTATTTGAAGATATAAAAGTCAAAGACTTGCATGTTGAAGGAATAAGACTGTCAAACCTTGGTTATGTGTTGGAAGGTCTTCATGCTTATATTTCAAAGATATCTGACTTTTACGCATTTTCATTTGAGCCAAAAGGGAACCTGATCTTAACTCATCCTTTACCGGGGCTGTGGGTAGCCTGATTATTAAAATGTCTGCTCGTCACACTTCAGGCCCGGGTTTGTTTCCTCACATGGGTACAACGTGTGAAGCCCATTTCTGGTGTCCCCTGCCATCATATTATTGCTGGAATATTACTAAAAGCAGAGTAAAAACATACTCACTCACTCCTCCTTTACCATTTGGTTAGAGAAGATGTGACTGATCCATTAGGAAAAGTAAATATGCTATTCAGAATACACGTTTGCATGTCACAAGTTATCTCCCTTGAACCATACATCTTTGTTTTGCTCCTGTTTCAGGGACAATCCCCATATGAACGAGCCACCTACCGCTACACCCCATTGTTAGCCTTCATGCTCCTACCCAACAAATGGTTTCACAGCTTTGGGAAAATACTTTTCATCATATTTGATGTGTTGACTGGAGCTCTGACATATTCCATCGTATCCTCCAAAGGCCACAGTCACAAGACAGCAGTTATCTGTACCTGTCTCTGGTTGTTCAACCCCCTCCCGATGGCTGTGTCTAGTCGAGGAAATGCAGAGAGTATTATGTCCTTTCTCGTGCTTGCAACTCTTCAGCTGTTAGAAAACCGCCATATTTTCTTGTCTGCAGTGTCCTACGCCTTAGCAGTTCACTTTAAAATCTACCCTGTCACATATGCGCTGCCATTGTACTTGTTACTGGGAAAGGATTTTGAAAAAGACAAGGTTCAGAGATTTCCAAGATCCAAATTTACTCAGCTGAAGAAAAGGACAAAAGATGATGTATTTGTGTTGAAGGAGGTGCTACTGGACTTGGTCCCCAATATCAACAGACTGGTGTTTGCGTTAGTGGGAGCTGTTGTGCTGGGAGGACTGACTGCAGTGTTCTACTTGTGGTGGGTCATGTAATCTGCTTGTCTTTAATATCTATTCATTGTGTAGACAACTATACCATGGCTGCGAAGGGGGATCCAAACAGAGCAAAAGAAATCAGCTAAATTTGTATCTGTGAAATCTACAAGTCTAAAATCGTTTTGGTTTTAACATGTTGAATGGCTCAAACTTTCCGTATTCTACTGGGAAATTATTAGAACCAATTCTCAGTTATATATAGTATTTTGCATCCATTACACACCTACAGAAGTGGTTCCATAACTTGAATAAAGAACAAAAATCTACGTGTTTACATAGAGTCTATGCTAGTAAACATAATTATAGTATACTGATCATGCTTTTTTTGCTGAAACAGTCAACCATGCACTGTTTTTCGTCTTGCCTCTGTGCAGGTATGGCTGGGAGTTCCTGTATGAGACCTACCTATATCATGTGGTTCGGCAAGACACACGCCACAACTTCTCACCGTACTTTTACATGCTGTATCTGATGGGTGTGGCTCCTTCATCCACGTGGATCAAGATCCTTGCCTTCCTACCACAGCTTCTCCTCGTTCTCACATTCGCCATCAAGTTTTATAAAGACCCACCCTTCTGCTGGTTCCTCATTACATTTGCTTTTGTAGCTCTCAATAAAGTGTGTACGTCACAGGTGAGAAGACTTTCACAGCTACCGGTATATAGCACTTGTTTTGTAGCTCTCAATAAAGTGTGTACGTCACAGGTGAGAAGACTTTCACAGCTACCGGTATATAGCACTTGTTTTGTAGCTCTCAATAAAGTGTGTACGTCACAGGTGAGAAGACTTTCACAGCTACCGGTATATAGCACTTGTTTTGTAGCTCTCAATAAAGTGTGTACGTCACAAGTGAGAAGACTTTCACAGCTATGTATTAATGTATCTTTGTTCCTAAAAAAATCAGTAACATGTATATTTACAAATCAGTGTTCACTGGTTGAACAGAGTTTATGATAACAAACCAGATTTGTGGAATGTCTGTAAACACATTTATCAAGGAAATTTGAAAGCATTTAGTTGCAACTGTTAACAAAATTTGACCATTAGTTAAATAAAGGATGTCTGTGAAGAAATAACAGCATAAACAGAGGGTCAGTATATTAGCATAGTGGTTATGGAGTTGACTGTACACCCTACGGACTTAGTTCAGTTCTCCAGATGGGTACTTGTGTGAAGTTCCTTCTTGGTGTCCCTCATGATTTAACTCAAATATGCTAAAATCAGCATAGAACCACATACACACTCACTCATATACAAATTTGTGTTATATCACCTAATGACAGTCATGAAATACTGATTATAACCTACCTTATCTATGGTTTCAGTACTTCCTGTGGTATCTATGTCTAGTTCCACTTATTCTCCCCCTCCATCAACATCTCCGTGTCCAGGGGAGTCGTGCTGACCACTCTCTGGTTCCTTGGCCAGGTACTGTCATCTAGTATTACTATCTCATGCTGTTTTCTGGGGTGGTGTTTTTTTGTTATGTATTGTATCAGATAGTGTGACTATGAGGCATGCATTTCTAAGTGTTTAAATGTTGGCTTACAAAATACATAAATTATCCTTGTGATATACATGTATCAAAGAAAATATTTAAACTGTTGTTGTTTGTTCACCATTTTTAGTGGTTAATGTCTGGTGGTAATACTCAGCAGACTTTGTGACGTTTCATCAACTCTACTACACAAGTACATATAGTACAGTTTTCACTGAGCCATCACTGAAGCATTTGCATGGTATATTAAGTTTGATAATTGTGACTTTATTTTCAGGGTATTTGGCTTTTACCAGCATACTACCTGGAGTTTGAAGGCATGAACACCTTCCTGTACATCTGGGCTGCTGGACTGTCATTCTTCACCATCAACACCTACATCCTCTACATCCTCATCACATGCTACAGGCCTGTAAACAGTCAAACTAGGACTAAAACCAAAGTTCCCATGAAAGTTCAATGATTGCATCTGTTTGTATTGACCCCAGTCTGCTTGTCAAACACTCAGAGGGGAGGTCAAATACCGTAAATCATGAACAACTTAAAGCAAAATGTATTAGTGCCACTTGATGACTTCAAAAAATGACACCATTTTATCTGGTCACACTGGATTGTAGTTTGATGACTGGTTCATTAGGGGCATACTTCACACAACAAAGCTGCCAATAAACAATATAATTTACTGCCTGACCTGTGTTTCTGGAAGTCTGGTCACGGTTACGACAGTCACCTACCATGTGTGTCAGCTTCTTGTTCTTGAAACTTGTCGAATGATTATGGGCAGTGCTCAACTACATAGTTAAAATGTCAGGCAACTGACACAGACACATTGCTTATTGAAAACAAATCACTGCTCACTAGTATTCATAAGATCATGCTTAATTGTATAACAACACTTGAGAACTTTACAGTACATGTATTTGCTGACAGGACTTATCTTGTTTGGATTTACAATATTTGCCGATAATTTAGATGGGTGTGTTTCAGTTCCCGGGGTATGGCTACTGCCATTCATTTCAAGATCCTTTCTATGCAGGCTAAGGTACTGGCATTATTTGGGATATGTGTTTCATTAAAACTGGAAGGGACCTATCTCTCTCTGTGAATACACAAACACGTGTTTTTAAGAGAAGGATATATATTTGTTTGAATTCAAAATTTAGATATCAGTTCTTTGAAGCCATTAGTTTGTTATGCAGGATTTGTTAGTACCGTAACTTTCATAAAGAAATACGTCGTAAGGCTGTCAGGCTTTTGAAATGGTTAGTTGTGACTGATGTTAAGTTATATGTTTGTTATAACCGTGTACTGCATTATCTGATCAGCACCTAGAAGACCGGACAACTATTATGTCAGCTCTAAAACGTGTTGTATCAAAATAACGAAACATATCAGCCTGCAAAAGAATGTTATTTGCCCTTCTCTATGTCTGGATGTATGAAGATATGGAAGATGTATGGCACATCTTACTTGTTTCTAGGTCATTCTTTTTCGTTATGAAGATGTAAATTTTAAACACAGAGAGATTTTAGAGTTCAGTTCACTGATTGATTGTATTGAACTTCTTCTGTTATCTAAAATATGTGTTATAACATTATTTGAACTTTTACATATATAATGTAAATCACTATTTATTTTACTTATTATGTTTGTGTTTTGTGCTAGGTGTAATCATGACAGTGTCACCTACTTAACATTCAGCATCATTAAGTCTGCATTCCTTTGAAGTTAAGAATAAAGATAGAAGACATTACATGAGCATGTGACTGTGATCATTGACATGGGACTTTCATGATGCTTGGGAGACTACTGGCGAACAAGGATAAGTTGAGCACCGATCTGACAATTGACCCGTATTAGCATGTATGAGTGCCGCCCACTGGCGCTTGCCATTGGTAGCAAAGGGGCCCCAGGCTGTCCATGATCAAGTGTAGTGGGACTTGCTACGCCGACGTGAGAGTCTTATGAGCAAGGTGTAAGCAGCTACGTGCAATATCAATTTCATCGTCATGCAATGCACATGCACTAGCCTACATCTGCTCTACCTTTCACAACCCAAATGGGCTTGCTCATTGCCGTGCACCGGCTACTTCTCGTAAACGTGTTCTCTGTGCCGGTCCAACTTATCCTTGTTTGCCAGTAGTTGTTGCACTGTGGTTCTGTGAGATGCACACAGACAAGGTCCTCACTGAAACACAGTTGTAGCGCATATCATGTCACCTGAGGCAAGCGACTATTCAGGCAGCTCAGTATGGAAATCGATAATACCGTACCACTTTGAACATGCTTTAGTGTGTGGGCTTTGTGCAGTATAATTATGCCTATTATTATTACTGTTGTCCTTCTTCTTTGCTTGTTCTCTAAAGTCTTACGCATCACTCTTAGCTTTGACCAGTGAGTGACATTTGATTGATGACAAATGTTGTTGGGTACAAAGATTTCCAAGAAACAATCACCCAATCTGACCACCCAATCCATAAAGTGAATTCCGCCTTCCCAGGTTTAAGGAGACCTATACTAACCTGGATGTGTATTATGATTTTATTATCAAATTGACCTGAAACAGACAACTGTTCAGGAACCATTTGTTGTTTAAAAGCATACATATTTCTGGACAATATTATGAAGCTGAAGTGCTCCTATTTTTGTGCTGTTTGCCAGGATGTGGGGAACTAAATGTGACTCTTTGATTACATGCATGAAGAAATTCAAATGAGACAACAGATACTTCACACACAGATACAAGTCTGTGTAGAAGGGGTAAGTACAATATCCATGACAGGGAAATTCTCTCTGGTTACAACTGTACCTTGTTTGTTCACCACTTACAATACCACATAGATTTGACTGGGAACAAAATACAAAATAGCAGTTATGTTTTTCATGTGGAAAATATGATTCTACTGAGCCTTTATTCTGTGTTTTGTATAACGTGGGTGTCTCATAATGCAGGGGGTTCATCCATGGACCCCAAGACCCATGTTATGGCTGCTCATGCTTCACCCTACAGGTGTTTGTTTGTTCCACTGTACATACATGCGATCTGTTCATAAACATATCTTCAGTCCAATATCAATGAAGACACACACAACCTTCCTGTAAAATATGAATATATTTATTCAGTAACCATGGTAAGTGGTACAAACAATCATCTATAACATTCACGTAAGATTGATGAAGAAACAACTGGGCTTTTGATACACTGGCCACCAACCGTCCAGACATGGTATTTGTGTTAAACATCGATATGGAGTGATTCCCCTCTGTCTCCACTCTGCTGCAGAGATTATTCATCGTATCTGCACTTAGAGGTCATCATTTCCAGATACTACAGTCGTCAGCCTCATGTCACAATCATTCAAACACACGCTATGGCAAGCTCTATACATTATATCAGGTTTCTTACAGTGTTCTCTAGGAGATTATCCCACTGGAACTTCTTGTGCACCATATGTCTGAGTGTAATGTGCTTAAATTATTGACAGTAAAATATCAAACTGAGTGTTGTTGGTCAGCGGTTAGAGTGAGTGAGTGAGTTTATTTTTCCTGCCATGCTGGTATGTGTCCAGTGTAACTCCTGGTAACTCTCAAGTTGATCTCTCATCTTCATGTTTATTCTTCTATCATTTGGTAATTCTAAAATCCTAAGGTAGCAAAATGCCTCATCATCTAATTAGTAATAGGTGCAGATATTTTTTCATATATGCTAATCCTATGCTAAAACATCACAAATTTCTAACTGCCTTGCCCAGAAAAGTGGTGCTTGCTCACAGAGAAGGGAAGTTTGTTCTGATCACTGATAACAGTTTACCCACTGTCAAAAATATATAATTGGTCTGGTTAATCTTTTTACAGCCATAACTAATTGATTAAAGTCATTTGTTTAACTGTTGTGAGTAGTAAATGCAGAGAGACCATGCTATCACACACTTCAGGTGTAATTAGTATCATCATTACAAGCCTGGTCAATAAGTCTTGAGTGAGCAGATAACAAAGTGTGTTCAGACTGGCAGTTAGGTTGGCCATGGTTCCCCAACACTGTCTCTTGCTGCATCACTATGTCAAGTATTTGTAACACTTGGAAATCACCCCTTAGACAACTGGGTTCCTTCAATACAAGGGTCCCACGGGATCACAAAGTAAAACATGACCAGTTTCACACTGGGACGGCCATATCAGACAGATCACAGCAAGCTGCTGCTGGAGGGTCAGTGTTGTATTGCGATATTGATGTAATGATACTTTGTGGCAACACAGCAGTGACTGGTTGAGTTGTCCCCCTGAAGCACATCTGATGTGGGATAGAGAAGGGGATCGGGTACACAGACTTGCCTATCCCTACGATTTGGGCGTAAGGCTTACTATTTTTGGTGCTTAATTACGACCTTACGATCATACTGAAATTCCTTACGACTTCTACAAATAAATGGTAGAATACTAGATATAGGCATGCCCATGCTATTTATAGAGTCATTTACAGTACATAAAGTACCGAAAAACAGAAGTCGCATCATAAACATTATAAATAAATAATCTTTGCATCTTACAGTGCTGGTAAAGTTTATTTCAAAGTGAAAGACTTTAAAAACCGTTAATTAGATCGGCGCCACATTTTACTAATAAGTCACTATATTAAGATTTTAACCAGCAATGTTTTTCCTCTATTTCTTGACATAAACATACCTTACGATCAAATGCACCTGCGTTACTATTTTTTTTTAGCTGATCTTACTATTTTCTTTAAAAGGGGTTGGCAAGTCTGGGTACATCTAAAACACGGAATAAAGGTTCTTATCAGAAATAAACTGCTCCTATAGATGACAATATACATACATGAAAACAAAACATGTAGAGCTATATTACACTATCTGTCGGAGTCACAATGTATATTTTGTGAAGCTGTGTTGATCAAAGTAGGATGTTCTTAAAAAGTCAGTATTTTACAACTATCCATACCATTACCATGATCTGATACAGGTATTTTAGCATATACTTCAATCTTTACAGACTCATGTTTCAACACTGAACAGCTGGTGAACATTCATATCTTACTATTGATGCTACATTGATTGTGTTAGACAACATTAAAAAAATAAGGCCACAACAAAGTTTGGTTTGCTCATCAGAATTAATACATCATGTCCACATACTGTTGCTATGTTTAGGCACTAATTCAGTATGCAATTGCAATTGTAGAAGTATTTATGTCAAATATTATCCTAATTTAACAAAAATGAACACAATATTCATGCAAATGTCAAACCCACATGTTTCATATTGGTGACTTAACACATAATGTTTTAAAAAATCAACAAGCAAACAATTCAGGCATCAAAATTAGCCGAAGTTTTCAAATCTTAAAACATAAATTATTTTCTGTGAGCAACATTTGTTTCTCAGTACAATCAGGAGCCTTGGTTACAGAATCCTACATCATCTGTGACATATGTGGCACGAAACAAAAGCCTGTGGTAATCCCAGGTGAAGCATATTGCATCTTAACTCTATCGTTCAGCTGCTGCAGTATATAACAGACAATATGGATACCAGCATAACAAACATCAGTACTAGGCCAGGATGCATCAACTGTTCGATTTTCATCCCCTGACCCGCATACCACCTAACACTGTCATACGTTATTACATACAGAAACATATATTTGTGTGTTGCCTTTCTTTACTTGATGAAACACTGTGTTCTACCTGACATCATACCATATCCAATCACATCCAATGACAGTTGCATCTTGGATAACATTTTTCTTTTAAACTGGCATGAAACCCATTAATAAATATGATTTGGCCTTGAATGTACAGATTTCCTGTACATGTATTATATAATTCTTATTCCATGCTAATCATGACGCTGGGTCAACAATATAGGGGCATGAACACACACATGCAGGGGCACATCAAGAGGTCAGTCTCAGACTAGACTACAAGGATGGAAGAAAGTATCTATATGCCCAAGATACAGGAAATACAACAGTAGAAAAACCTGACGTCAAAATGTCAACATGAGATCAAAGTGTGACTATCTACATATCATACAATACTAGATACAGAGGAAACCCTGTTCACCGAGTCCTAATGTCACAGATAATGTTCAGTCTGTGCCAAAAGATTTTGAGTCGACTTCTGAGCTCAGCCTTTAGAATCATTTTCTGCAAAACAAACATGTTATTGCTAGCTGAGCTTACTAAACTGGACAAATCTTTACTAAATGCATCGTTCTAACAGAAAAGTCTGAAGAGCAGGGTTTCCAGCAATATCGCACAGCTATTTCATGTATATAATACACCATTCGATTCCTCTTCAAATCTGACACGATAGACCTAATTGTGTGTAAAGACCTCTCCTGTTCTCTTCTAAAGCACCTGCTATATTTACCTCTCGTGAAAAGTCATCCAATATCTGCACAATCATTCCGACAATGGGGAAAGTTCGGGAAACCCAAGTAGCCTAGAGTGTCCCTGTATATGCATAGTCGTTGTATGGAGAAGACTGTACCTGGACATAGAGGTCAGCAATACCCGTTGGCGCGATGGTCTGTTTGCCTCTAGAGACGTGTCACTATGACTGTCAGCTCTGGACGATGTTCTCACTGAACAAACATCACTGTACTCAGTGCGCCTCTTTACCATGGTCAACCATGGAGTGCTTTCTGAACAAAAGCCGGTGTAGATACTGATAATTGGGTTTAACGATGCTTTTCGCACAATTCCATCAGTTTCACGGCGGTGGGGCAACAGAA